GGTAGGCCTATAGGAATGCAGGGACGGTCGGTCCCTGCTCAACGCGTACGAAACGCAATTCCGTCGCGGGTAGGGCCGCTCTCTCTCTCTCTCTCTTTTTTTCGCCGTGCGCCTGTCAGAAAGAAAGGAAGCGCCATAGAGTGAAGTCGGGCCTGTCCCTCTACAGGGGGATTATTCCATAATCGCCAACAAATAGTCAGGGGACGATTTTTCGACTATTTGTTGCAATCTTTATTTTTATATATATATATATACATATATACACATTTGCGTGTGTGTCTGTGTGTGTGTGTGTGTTTGGCTATTCTTTAACTTTTCATCAAAAAACCGCCTCCAGGGGGGCGTGCCCGACCCACGGGCAGGGCCGCTCTCTCTTTTTTGTTCGCCGTGCGCCCCTGCAGCACAAACAAGGGACGCGCCACGGAGCCGTGCCGTGGACCCCCCCCCCTGCCCCCTCCGGCGGCGCGGCCGAGGCGACGGGCAGGAGCTGGACCCGTGGTGCGTCCTGGAGCTGGACGTCGCCGACTCCAACGACAAAATCAAGAAGAAGTACAAGGACCTCCTCCGCCTCCTCCTCCTCCTCCTCCTTCTCGTTCTCCTCCTCCTACCTCCGCCTGCCTCCTCCTCCATCCTCCTCCCTCCTCCTCCCGGGAGCGGGGAGGGGCGCGCGGTGCAGCGGAGAGGAGACAAACAAACAAAAAAAACGAGCCTATCCGCACCGAGCCGCATGCCGGCAGCATGGCGACATATCTATGGGATCGCGCCTCGGAGTCCAGACCGTGGGGGCATGCTTATAGATATGTTCGTCGCCCGTGAGGAAAGAGAAAGAGAGAGAGAGAGGGGAGGAACAAACAACCATGGAGAGAGTGAGAGAGAGAGAGAGAGAGAGAAAGAGAGAGAGATGGCGAGAAACAGAGAGGGAGAGAGAAGGAGAGAGAGAGAGAGAGAGGCGCCGCGTACGCCAGGTATGCACTGGCAATAGTAAAGTCGCCGTGTATAGCACATTGTCAGCAGCACCGCTGTGAAGCGTAGGAACGTCAGACAGGATGGTCATTCGAGCTTACCTTGCATTTTGAACGCTATGGGGGTCTCCTGCGGCATTCTGGATCAGGGTGTCGTGGAACAGCACGAGGCAGCGGCGTGGAATGGGAATTCCCCGCTGCATTGTCCCGGCGGAAAACGAGCGGCAATGCCCAGGGGCTGACAATACAGAACGTAAGCATGGTAATGACGGTAGTGGCGATTGTATGATAACAACGGAGATGGTGATGGTGATGATGACGGCATTGGTGTCATGGGTATGAGTCTGGACGATGATTTGGTGATGGTGGTGACGGTGATGGTGATACTGATGATGACGGTGATGGTTGGCTGCGAGCAGCCCGTGTGTGCGTGTGCGTTCGTGGGTGAAGCGGAAAGAGCAAGCGGCCCGATCTGTTTTGCGCGGCTGCGATCGCGGACGCTGCTGCGAGTGCAGTTGCGGCGGCCCGCGGCCTAATAGGAGTTGTGCGGTTGCGGCAGCGGGTGCACTTGCGGGCGCATGCCGCCGACCATGTGTCGCCCGCTTGCGGTTGCGGCGGCCCGCGGCCCAACAAGTGCTGCCCGCTTGCGGCAGCGGGTGCACCTGCGGGGGCATTCCCTCGACCATGTGCCGCCCGCTTGCGGCCCAACAGGTGTTGCTTGGTTGCGGTGGCGGGTGCGCTTGCGGGTGCGCTTGCGTGTGCGATTGCGCTTGACCGCGGTCTCAAGAAGCCTGTTGCTTGCGTGCGGTGGCGGGTGCGGTGGCGGGTGCGGTCGCGGGTGCGGTTGCGTGGGTGCCCGCTGCCGTGGGCGGCAGAACACGAGTACCCCGCCATGTCCGTGGACGTCAGTTCAGCGAGTCAGTCAGTCAGTCAGTCAGTCAGTCGGTCAGTCAGTCAGTCAGTCAGTCAGTCAGTCAGTCAAGCGGTTGGTCGGTCAGTCGGGGCAGTCGGCGCACCGGGGGTGGCGGAGCGAGCCAGTGTCAGGATGCAATTCCCCGGAGGTTCATGTCAGAGTCGGCGCTGGTATATCCCAGTCGGAAATTGGCCTGATCGGGCTTGCTCCCGCTTGATCCGGCTGGATCTCGCATGATGTGGCTCAATCCCACCGCTTCCGTTGCAATCACGGGCCTCATCCAGCCCAGTTTGGCGCAGTGGCACCTCAATCGGCTTACGATGTTTCACAGAAGGAGTGGTCCCAGAGGTCTTGTGCGAGGTCTTGTGCGGGATGTCTTGTGGGGGCTCTCGTGTCGGACTCTGGGCATCGATCCGCGTTCTCTTGCTTCGGTCTCCTGCGCACGTGGTCTTGTGCGCGTCTTGTGCGCGACCACTCTTCGCTCGCCCACTGTTTTTGCTGAAACTAGTAGCGTGTACACCTTAGGCGATGCTTAAGAAAACTTAAGTTTTCGGCGAGAGTCTTGATTATTCTTAATGATTCAATGTAAATCCTAAGATTTTGATAGAAGTTCTGGGTATTTATTCAAATTCTGAGACTCTGAGTTTCTTAGCCCATGATTTGTTAAGCATTTCGCAGGGTGTAGTCTTTAGTTCATCTTTCTGGCGAAGATTTCCCAGCAGTCGCCTTCCGGCCGGTGGCGGCGGCAAGGGGCGGCACAGGCGCGCGGAGAGGCGGCGGCGGCAGGAGGGAGCGCGGCGATCGGGCGCGGCGACGGCGGAGGTGTCCGGCGGCGGCGCAGGGCACCCGGGGGCCCAGAGACAGCGGTGCTCGTGGTTCGGCCGGCTTGTCCCTCTGCAGGAGGAATGTTCAAAAATAGTTCTGGGGACGAGTGTTTCGTATTTTTTTTGTTTATTTTGTTTTATTCTTTGAATATTTTTGCATTTATCGTCCAAAATCCCCCTGTAGGGGGACACGCCCGATTTAAGGGACACGTAAGACTCGAGCAAGCCTGAACTCGGGCTGCTGACGTTTTCCGACGAGCGCGTCCATGATTCTGACGGGGCGGTTCTCGTGGGACGTTTGCAGAGGGAGCTCGCGTCAGATTTCAGATTGGGTCTCGTCATTTTTATGATGGCCCCGTCAGGCCAACCCGAGTCTCCCGTACCCGAGTCTTACGCCTCATTGTGCCGTTGCCGGGTCGCTGCGCCCTTCCGGGTTGCTTGCGGTCTCTCGGTCTCGTTCGGTCTCGGCGTCTTTGTCGGTTCGGCCGGCTGTCGGCTTTGCTGTCGCCGTGAACGGCCCTTTCAGAGAGGCGCAGGGCTCCTCGGGGCATCAGGGGGCGCGGAGGAGGCTGCTCGATACGCCTCCGGGCGTGTGTTGGGCAGATGCGTGTTCACTCGAAGGAGGAGGAAAGCTGCATCAGACTTCTGGAGCTCCGTGCGGAGTGCTTTGGGTCGGCGCGGGGTGCCCCTGGCGGCTCCTCTGGCACCGCCCCTGGCGCGCTCCTTCCCGCCAGGTGGGGGCCCCGGGGTCCAGTGCGGAGCGCGCCAGGGGCGGCGCCGGAGGCGCCGCCCGTTGGGCCCAGCGCCGATCCCAAGAAATCCGAGAGGAGCTCCGAAAGTGTACGTTTATGCAGTCTTTTGTATTTCTGCAGTTTTGGTTATTTTTATTTTTGCACTTACATTTGTATTCTGATTTTTGCATATTTGCATTTTGAGTTTTTATGTTTATGCAATTTTCGTATCTCACCGACAGATCACTACACCGCCTGCGCCGTATCGAGCGGCCCCGATGGACAGGTGCACGTGGGCGCCAACACACACATTCTGATTATTCTCGGGCTGCCCGCGTCGCAGGGCAGCACCATGGCCAGCGGGAGGAGGTGTGGCCAGTGGCAGCGTCAGGGTCCAGGCTTCCCGTGCGTCTCCCGTCGCGTTTCGGCGGCGCGCACACCGGGGGGGGGGGGGCGGGGGGGGGCAGGGGTAGCCTCCTTGGACGGGGGGGGGCTTCTTGGTTTCGCTGTCGGGGCCTGTTACCGATCTCTCGGCGAGGCATCGCCGATCCCAGGTCGGAGTTCTCGGAGTTCCCCCCCCCCCCGGAGCCGGTCCCACCGCAAGTGTCGTTCCCCGGAGGGCAGGAGCGGCGACGAGGGAGGCCGGCGGCGGAGCAGGGCCGCGGACCCCCAGAGGGCCTCGGAGGGCCAAGACATTGCGCATTTCCTGTGTGTTTTTCCCCACATCCTAAGATGGGGTTCTTGTTATCACTTGGACGCCTCCTACTTCCTCTCCTCTTCCTCCTCCTCCTCCTCCTCCTCCTCCTCCTCCTCCTCCTCCTCTGCTCCTCTACTCAGACTTGCTCATACCCAGACTTGCTCACACACAGACTTATGCACACTCATACATTCTCATACTCAGACCTACTCATACTCAGACTTACTCATACCCAGACGTACACATACACAGACTTACTCATACACAGGCTTACTCATACTCAGACTTACTCATACCCAGACGTACTCATACACAGACTTACTCATACTCAGACCCACACATACTCAGACCTTCTCATAGTCTGAGTTACTCAACACACGGCAGATTGTGGGGATGTCTCAGGCGGGGCGCTGGTTTCAGCACTCCTACGGGGAGCCGCCAGGGGGTATATCACGGGCCCGTTCGCGGCCAGTTTGTGGGGATGTCTCAGGCGGTTTGCTCGTTTTCATGCCCAACATCCTTGGCTTTCATAGCAGATTTTGAGGATGTCTCAGGCGGGCGCTGGATTCAGCACCCCTAAGGGGAGCCGCCAGGGGGTATATCACGGGCCCGTTCGCGGCCAGTTTGTGGGGATGTCTCAGGCGGTTTGCTCGTTTTCATGCCCAACATCCTTGGCTTTCATAGCAGATTGTGAGGATGTCTCAGGCGGGGCGCTGGTTTCAGCACCCCTAAGGGGAGCCGCCAGGGGGTATATCACGGGCCCGTTCGCGGCCAGTTTGTGGGGATGTCTCAGGCGGTTTGCTCGTTTTCATGCCCAACATCCTTGGCTTTCATAGCAGATTTGAGGATGTCTCAGGCGGGGCGCTGGTTTCAGCACCCCTAAGGGGAGCCGCCAGGGGGTATATCACGGGCCCGTTCGCGGCCAGTTTGTGGGGATGTCTCAGGCGGTTTGCTCGTTTTCATGCCCAACATCCTTGGCTTTCATAGCAGATTTTGAGGATGTCTCAGGCGGCGCGCTGGTTTCAGCACCCCTAAGGGGAGCCGCCAGGGGGTATGTCTCGGGCCCGTTCGCGGCCAGTTTGTGGGGATGTCTCAGGCGGTTTGCTTGTTTTCATGCCCAATGCCCTTGGCTTTCATAGCAGATTGTGGGGATGTCTCAGGCGGGGCGCTGGTTTCAGCACCCCTAAGGGGAGCCGCCAGGGGGTATATCACGGGCCCGTTCGCGGCCAGTTTGTGGGGATGTCTCAGGCGGCTTGTTTGTTTTCATGAACAGACGCTCACTAAGGCATAAGATAAAACATGAGATGCACATATGGGGAACTCCACGAAGTGAATAATTTTTTTGAAGGGCCGTGGGTTATACGCACGCTCTCGAGCTTCAGGGCTCCGAGGACGGCCAAAGAGGTCCCCAAGATCGCCCCAGCGGCCCAAGAGGCCCGAGGCCGATCACGATCAAGGCGGAGCTCCTCCAGTGCAAGCCGTGCTTGTGGGGTCTGGAGGAAGAGAAGCGGCTGGCGGCACGCTTGAGCACATCGTTGGGAGGTGCGCGCGGATCTCTCGGGTCGGCCCCCCCCTCCGTCCCAAGCAAACGCGGATCTCTCGAGTCCGCGCGAACCTCTGTCATTTCTTGTTTGTGCCGCTCTTCGTTCCGCTACAAGTCTCCCCATGGTCAGCGAGACAGAGCTACGGTCGCGGAGCAGGAAGCTTGCCCCGCCCTCCAAAGTTGAGGCCAGCGCATCGACGTGCCCAGGGCGGGGGTCCGTGCCGCCCAGAACCCAGTGCGCCGGTCCACCGACTGGACCACTGCACGTCGCCATCTCAGTCGGCGGGAGTGGAGAACGGGGGCGCGGCTAGAGTTAAGTCGGGCGTGTCCCTCTACAGGAGGAATATGCAAAAATAGTAGAAAAATAGTCAGGGGACGACTTGTTTGACTATTGTCTGACTATTTTTGGGTATTGTTTGAGTACTTTTCATTTTTCGTCCAAGCTCCGCCTGTAGGAGGACATGGCCGACCGAAGGCTAGAGTGGAGCGTGGCACGAGAGGTAACTGACTACATGCTGAGAGCTTTGGATGGGATGCCCTTCTGCTCGGGCTTTCCACCTCGTCGTGTTCTTCGGCTTAGGTAGCTCCATGGGGCCTTGTGCCTTCGGCGATGTGGCCCACGCTCTTGGCCCACGTCCCTGGGCCGTGTGCTGCGACTGCAGACGTCTGCCCTTCGGCCCCCCGGGAGGAGCTCGCCAGGAAGTACCATCCAGACAAGCACAAGGGCAGCGTGTCGGCCACCGCCAAGTTCAGAGACATCCAGGACGCTTGGGAGACCCTCAGGGAGCCCAACTCCCAGAAGAGGCGCATGGCCTGGCAGCGGCGCCAGCACCGGCGGACGCAGAAGTTCCCATACGACAAGAACCCGAATGTGACCCGGCTGACCAAGAGCACGATCAGCGCACTCGTACTTGCAAAGGGGGGCCGCGACCCGTGGTTCATCCACATGTTCAACCAGTACGACGAGCACCATAGGTCGGCGGCGAGCGAGGGGGGAAGCGAGAAGGAGAAGGCAATCTCAGAAGTCGGCGGGACTTCTCGGAAGCCCTCGCGCCTTCTGAGAGGTCTTTCGTGCATTCGGGTAAGGCTTCGAGCGCTTCTCAGAAGGCCAGGGGACTTCCGAACTTTGTGAGAAGGTCTTCTCCTTCTCACTTCCCCCCCCTTCGCTCGCCGCCGAATAGGGGGATGAACTCCGAGAAGAAGGTCCCCTTCAGCCGCGCCGCGAGCCAGCTCAGCGGCTCCATGCACTTCGGCGCCGTCGACTGCTACGACTGGAAGCCCACCCGGGGAGCCGAGAAGATGCCCCGCACCCTTGGCGGGGGGCGCGGCCAGGTTGGGGGTGGTGGGCGGGGCCGGGGGCGGGACCTAAGATTAAGTCGGGCGTGTCCTCCTACAGGGGGAATGTTCAAAGATAGTCAGGGGACGATGTTTGGAGTATTTTTCACTATGTTCTAGAATTCTTTGGCTATCGTTATTCTTTCGCCGGAAAGCTCCCCTGCAGGGGGACACGCCCGACCTGATCCTGGATGCGCGGAGGCGAGCCCCACCGAGGAGGAAATGCTCCGCCTCAGCTGTCCCAGGCGCTTCAGTATCCCCCGTCCCGGCGCGCGAGGCTGGAGCTCCGCGCAGAGCTCTCGGAGAGCGCGCGCCGGGCGGGGGGGCCGAGAGTCGGGAGGGGGGACAAACACACACAGAGACACGATGAATCGTCGACTCCTTGGAAAATAGGGGGAAATACGGGACAGGGGGGGGGAAGACGGAGGCCCAGAAACTAGAAGAACGTACTGTGAATCCTGGCATTTGTGTGTGTGTGTGTGTGTTTCTTTGTGTGTCCCTGGGCCCCTCCTTCAGAGAGGGCGTGGAGAGGGGGCGCCCGGGGGGCGGCGCGAGCGGAGCAGGGAGCGGAGGGCGCGGGGCGCAGGCGGGCGCCTCCGCCTGGGGGCCTCCGGCTCCGGCCAGAGCGGGGACTCTCCGGGGGAGAGCGGTGGCGCACGGGGGGGCGAGCGGGGGAACCCGAGCGAGCTTTACGTCGGGCGTGTCCCTCTGCAGGGAGCTCTTGGGCGAAAAGATAAAAAATAGTAAGCACATGTCCAAACGTAGTTGAGCATACGCCAAACATCGTCGCCGGAGTCTTTTTTGACTAGTTTAAAACATCCCCCCTGTAGAGGGGCACGCCCGACTTGAAGCGAGCTCAGAGGCACACTGGGGCGCAAGCACGGGCCTGGCGAGCAGGGGGGCCCCGCGAGCGAGTGGGGCTGAGCGAGCGGGGGCAGCGAGGAGGTCCCTGCATGCGGGGAGGCTGTGCAGTCGGACCGGGGTCTAAGATCGAGGTCTCGGTTCGGGGAGGGCACCCTGATGTTCTTTGTGCCTCTTGGGTGTTCTTGTGCGTCCTGGGGAGGGCACCCGTGGATGCTCTGTGCGTTCTGGCTGGCGGAGGCTCTCATGTTCTTGAAGGATGTTCTTCTGTCCCAGGTCCGACTGCATGGGGGGAGGCTGTACGCGTGGTTGCACACTTCCCCTCTGCGTGAAGTGCTCGTTGGCGGCCCCCGGGCCCGAAGTGGGCCTCGGGGCCCAAAGCTGGCGCTCTCGATGTCCTCGTGACGCCGGAGACGGGGCCCGGGGACTGCCACGGGTCCACTCCCGGAGCTGTCCCGGGGGGTGCGCGTGGCCAGAGCTCCGAGGGGGAGGCAGCCGCGGCGACGAGAAGCCTCTCGGAGGCCCACAGAGGGGCGAGGAGCATCTCGGGTCGGGCGAAAGGGGGGGATTGGGAAAGGGGGGGTTACGAAATTTGCTGCATGCAGCTGGTTTCGGCCTCACCGAGGGGCCCATTCCTCGATACATGCGCGCCTCCCGACGCCGGGAGGCGCTGGGAAAATCAGCTACGTGAGCTGATTCTCAACCCCTCCCTTTGCTATCCCCCCCTTTCGCCCGACCCGAGCATCGCAGAGAGCCTCGAGGCCTACAGACCCGGGTGCCCTGCGGGGTGGGGGGGCCCCTTCTGGCTCTCCGCTGTCCCGGGCCAGCAGCAGGACATGATGAAGGCGTGCAGTAAGCTGAGCGCGGAGAGCTCGGAGGCCTCCGGCCGGTTCCGCCGTCCGTGGCAAGCAGGCACACGCACACGTCCTCTCTGGGAGGAAGGGGGGATGGGAGGGGATTGGAACAGGGGGGGGAGGAGGGAGGAGGGGGAGAACCGGGATGACAGAGGGTGATGATAGTTCGGAGGAGGGGGAGCCGCCTCGGGGCTTTCTGGGCGCTCAGCGTGGTCGTTCTCGTGGACCTTGCCTGGAGCCTCTTCGGTGCTCCCTGTTCTCGTCGTCATGCTCCATGAGGGCTTCTCGGGACCGTCCGTTCCACATTGACTCCTCCGTCTGCGCATGCAATCGTGAGAGTTGTGTTGCTGCTGCTGCTTATGGAGTATGTTTGTGCTGCTGCTCTTGCTCCATCTCACTGCCTGCGGCAAGTCCCGCCACCGTGGCAGCCCAACATCTTCGGAGGTGACTGTTCGAGGGGGCGCGGGAGAGGCCGTCGCGTGTGACGCCGCCTGTCTCCAGGCTGGGGAAAGCCGTGACGGGGATTATCAAGATTTTGAGGGTGATGGTGAAGATGATGGTGGTGATGATGGTGGTGATGATGGTGATGACGGTGGTGGTGACACTGATGATGCGGCTGCTGCTGATGATGATGATGATGAGGATGAGGATGATGATGGTGATGATGATGATGATGATGATGAAGATGATGATGATGAAGAAGAAGGTGATGTGATGGTGATGGTGATGGTGATGATAATGGAGAAGAAGAAAGAAGAAAGTAGTATTTTTACCTACCAGCTTTTGCTGATAGGTTTCTAGTGTTCTCAAAGGAGAGCATCTTGACGCACCAGGGGGGTCTGGGCGGGATCCGGACAAGGAACCGGACAGATCCGTCAGCCCCAGGAATTTTTAGGAATCTTTAGGAATTTTTAGGAATCTTTAGGAATCCATTCCCAGAACACCATTCCCAGGCCGCATTTTAAATGCCCCGAGCTAACTGTAGGCCACTTCGTGTTCTTCGCGTTCCCAGAACACCATTCCCAGGCCACATTTTGAATGCTCGGAGCCACCTGTAGGCCACTTCGTGTTCTTCGTGTTCCCAGAACACCATTCCCAGGCCACATGTTCAATGCCCGGAGCCAACTGTGGGCCACTTCGTGACCTTCGTGTTCCCAGAACACCATTCCCATGCCACATTCTGAATGCCCGGAGCCAACTGTAGGCCACTTCGTGTTCTTCGTGTTCCCAGAACACCATTCCCAGGCCACGTTTTGAATGCCCGGAGCCAACTGTAGGCCACTTCGTGTTCTTCGTGTTCCCAGAACGCAATTCCTGAAACATATTTTGATTGCCCGGAGCCAGCTGTGGGCCACTTCGTGATCTTCGTGTTCCCAGAACACCAGTCCTGTGCAATATTTTGAATGCCCGACCTGAGGCAGGCTGAGGCCGAGGCAGGCTGAGGCCGAGACTGAGGCCGAGACTGAGGCTGAGGCTGAGGCTGAGGCAGGCTGAGGCCAGGCTGAGGCTGAGGCTGAGGCTGAGGCTGAGGCTGAGGCTGAGGCTGAGGCTGAGGCTGAGGCTGAGGCTGAGGCGAGGCAGGCTGAGGCTGAGGCGAGGCAGGCTGAGGCTGAGGCTGAGGCAGGCTGAGGCTGAGGCTGAGGCTGAAGCTGAGGAGGCAGGCTGAGGCTGAGGCTGAGGCTGTGGGCTGAGGCTGAGGCAAGCTGCGGCTGAGGCTGAGGCTGAGGCAAGCCTGAGGCTGAGGCTGAGGCTGAGGCTGAGGCAGGCTGAGGCTGAGGCAGGCTGAGGCTGAGACAGGCTGAGGCTGAGGCTGAGGCAGGCTGAGGCTGAGGCAGGCTGAGGCTGAGGCCGAGGCAGGCTCAGGCCGAGACAGGCTGAGGTTGAGACTGAGGCTGAGGATGAGGATGAGGCCGAGGCAGGCCGAAACTGCCTCGGGCTCATCCTAAGGTTTCCTAAGGATTCCCAAAGATTCCTATGGATTCCTATGGATGCCTAAGGATGCCTTAGGAATCCGTAGGAATCCTTAGGATTCCATTGGATCCTAAAGCCGTTGCCACTGCGACTGTCATTGCGAATACGACTGCGACTGCGAGAACAGCAGAATTCTACAACTGGATTCTCACCTGAATCTTAAGGGGAATGCTTCCAGATATGCTTATACACATCGCTGTTAGGTTGCTTTGCTGGGATAATTACCAATTATCATAACCAGAAAATTAAGAAGACGAGGAGGATGACGAGGAGGATGACGAGGAGGAGGAGGAGGAGGAGAAGGAGGAATAATAAGAAGAGGAGGAGGAGGAGGACGGGGAGGAGAAGGGAGGAGGAGGAGGAGGAGGAGGAGGAGGAGCAGGAGGACGATGAGGAAGAGGATGACCGTCATATGTGACACCTTCCGTCTTCACTATTCGAGGAGCTCTCATGGAACTCGTTCGGGCCCTCTTGGGGCTGTCTTGGCCTTCTGTGACGCAGTATTGTGGGCCGTCTCGGGGCTCTCTTGGGCTGTCTTTTTGGCCGTATGGTGGGTGTCTTGGGGCCGTCGAGGGGTCGCTTTGGCGCCGTCTTGGGCCGTCTGGGGGCCGTCTTGGATGCCTCTTGGGCCGTCGTGGGGCCCTCCTGAGCCATCTTGGTACCCCCTTTGGGGCCTTGTGGGCCGTCTTGGGGCCATCGTAGAGGCTTCTTGGGTCGTCTTGAGCAGACGGAAGCCCGAACAGGTGAGAGTGCGACAACCATTCAAACTACGAACATGGAAATCAATAATTTTGGCCTCTTCGGACCCTGCTGGAGGTCCTCATGTGGCCATGTTGGGCCCTCTTAGAGGCATCTCGGGCCGTCTTGAAGTCATCTTCGGCCGCCTCGGGGCCATCTTGGGCCGTCTTCGAGGCACCTGGGGCCATCAGGTTGTCCTTGGTTGCCCGCACTGGGCCGCCTTGGAAGCCCAGGGCGCACATCCTTCGTTTTGCTTGTTTGTTTGTTTGTTTGTTTGTCAGAGCGCCTTCTTTGGCTCCTCCTCCTCCTCCTCCTCCACCTCCTCCCCCTCCTTCTCTTCGTCCTCCTCCTCCTCGTCCTCCTCCTCCTCCTGGCCTCGAGGGCGCGGCTCCACCGCGTGTTTCTTTTTGCGAGGGGCCGTGGCCTCAGGAGGGAGGGCGGCGCATGCAAGGAGACGCGAACTGCGGTTCAGTCGGGCGTGTCCCTCTACAGGAGGAATATCCAACGCATAGCGTAAACAATTGCCTGGGAACGTTTTTTTTTGATATTTAAGTTTTTTCGAGTATTGTCGATTATGTTTCAACAATTGTCTGGGGACGATTTTTTGGTAACACACACATGTCTTAAACATGCAAGAAACATGCTGGAAACATGTTTGGAACATTGCTCCGATATGTCAAACACATTTTAGGCTCGATGATCGGACTGTTAGGGTGTCCATTGTCGTGGCATCCACAACACTACATAAGGAATATCCAAGCCATAGTTTAAACAATTGTTTGGGGGCGATCGTTTTGATGATATTTGGAGTATTGTCGATTCTTTGTTGGATTTTTTTTTGATAGTTTTCCTCGAATTTCCGCCTGTAGCAGAACATGCCCGCAAAAGACTACAGGGGGGGGAGGTCTCCTTTGTGAAGTCCCTGCGGCGAATGCCCGCCGACCCTGGGGGTGGGGGGGAGCCCGAGGCGATCTGGAAGGCGAGAGATCGACGGGGAGGGCTTCTCCCAGGGAGCAGAGGAACGATTAATGACATACACATAAAAACTCGAAGGTCCGCGCGGATTTCTCGGATCGGCGATCGTGGGACCCCTTCTTCGAAGGCAGGACCCATACCAGACAGCCCTTGGTGTTCTTCCACGCCTCCACGTGTGTGGAGGATAGGTTCCCTTTGGTTGCGCTTGATGCTTCCTCTTGTGCTTACGATCATGTGTTCGGTTTCGCTCCCGAATCCGCGTCTGTTTGGATCCTGCGTCCGCTTCGTCTTCCGCCTCCAGTGCTCCATACATTGCTGATGCTTATAGTCCGGTTGCTCCTCCTCACGATCTTTGGATTTGCGCGTCTCTGGTGCATGTGGGGCTTCGTCTGGGGTTTTACAGCGGAGCGGGGACGACTCCAGCGAGAGCATCGACGATCCAAAGCAGCAAGTTTACAGCGCCCCCCCCCACAGACGACACATCATGCATTGCAGTTGCCCGACACACGACATGCAGGGATTGTCACTCTCCGGCTCGGGGATTTCCATAAGCAAGTGCGTTCCCAAATTCAGTGACATCAGTTTGCGTTCTAGCAAGGATAGTTCATAAGCACGTCGCTTATCGCACTGGTCTGTCTGCATCGCCTTCTGCCGTGCGATATGTCAGAGTCTGCCTAGCATGTTGATTGCACCGACTTGGGGCTGGCGGATCCCTCAGAGGGGGAACTCAGACATATTCCTCGTGGTGCCGTCGGACGGCATCTCAGTGAAGTACGAGGAGAGCCTGACAGCGGATGCGCTGGTGAAGTTCGCCCAGACCTGGACCCAGGAGCCCCACGACGTGCAAGTCGTGGTTGGCGGTAGATCTGGACTGCCTGTTGAGAGTTCCCCTCAGCTGTGGCTGGTCAGCGGCTGTCGAAAACGTTATATATACATCCAGTCACTGAGAATTTCGAGACTTCGAAATACATCATGGGTTGTCGATCAATGTGAAGGGCAGGCTCATGCCACAATCTGTGATGTTAAAGATGAGCATTGATGAGCCTCTGCGTAAGATAAGCGATGCGATGAGCTATGGACGAACCGCCGTTGGCTCGTCATTGGGTGTAATTGAGCACATGCCTGATAGTCTAGGCGATGTTAGGGGCATCATCACGACCAGTGTCAAGTATATGAGTAACTCGGCATTCCGGTGGTAAGGTTTAAGTGGGCAACTAGAAAGCTTCGGTCCGTGGCCCCCTTGGGAGCTCCACCGAAGGACCAGTGGCGCAGTCCGCATGCGTCCCCACCACCTATTACGGCACACACCCCTCAAAGTTCGCCCGCATGGCGTCCCCGCCCCATCTCGGCACGCCCTTCACGTGCTTCGTGGCCCCAGAAGGAGATCCACCGATGGCGATACTCACAACGACAGTACTCACAACTGCATACGGTTGGGTCCTTCGCCGGGTTAATTTTAAGTCGGGCTTATCCCTCTACAGGAGGAATATTCAAAAATAGTCAAAAAATAGCCTGGGGACGATTTTCATATTATTCTTGATCATTTTTTGAATTCATTTTGGGGTATTTTTTCCGTCCAAAATCCCCCTGTAGGGGGACATGCCCGACCTAAGGCTAATTGTGTTTGGGCTCTCCACCCTGGAACGGTCTTCGTCCCGGGTATTGCCGCGAGGCCTTGGGTTCTATGGGGGAGGCTGCTCGTGCTTTTGACACTCGCGTTCTTGTGGCCACGCTCCGACCAATCTGTAAAGGACCTCAGGACTCAACCCGTTCAGTGCTTGCGCCACGGTGCCGGCGGACGTCTAGAGACTTTTTTTTTAGGGTCGGGCGATAACCCGGGTTATCGGGCTTGCCCCCCCTCCCCTCCCCCCAGGATGATCTAACATTGCCGGTTGTGCAGGTTCGGAGTGGGGGGGCGCGGGCATATGCAGGGCTGCCCACAGCGCGAAGGTTAGGTTATCGGCCGGCCCCCTCCTCCTCCCCCCCCCGATAACCCGAGTTATCTTCGATTCCAAAAAAACGGTCTCTTGTAAAGGACCTCAGGACTCAACCCGTTCAGTGCGTGCGCCACGGTGCCGGCGGACGTCTATCGTGCATGGGTTGTTGCGATGCGGTTCCATCGGGCAGCTCCTTGTGTCCGTGTCCAGCGGCTCGTGGCCCAGTGTTGCCATTGTTTCTGGTACGACGTCTTCTTTCCACGCCCACCCTCTCCCTTCTTCTTCGCCTCTCCCCCCCTGCTTGCGCCTTTCTGGCAGGAAGGTGGTGGAGTGGGGGGGGGCGAAGAAGGGAGAGGGGAGGAGGGGGGGGGTATATGGGGGTAAGGTGTAGGATGGGGGGAAGATGGGCGATGTCGCATGCTCCAGCGTAGTACACACACATGTAATATATATATATATATATATATATATATATATATATATATATATCCGTAAGGGCTTCGCCCCCTGCCGCCGGCCCCCTCTCTCGGAGAATGGGCCATGGAAGAGCTAAGTCATGAGGCCTTGGCGCTGTCGTGAAGCAGTATCGAAACTTCATGCGAAGCCGATTCGCAATCAGCAAAACCAACTGATCACAAGAGGGGTTACCACACCTGGCGATTGGTAAGACGTGTATGGTTTACGGGCTTGGTTACCACACCTTGCGATTAAAGGGCCGAGGGAGTTCTCGCAGTTTGGGTTACCACGCCTTGCGATGGATGTGCGTGAAGGGTGGCACCGATCCGCGGGGTCAGGGTCCAAAAACACATGGGATTTGCCACATTTCTGAAATTCGGTGCCACCCCTCACGCAGATCCGCGGGGTCAGGGTCCAAAAACACAGGGATTTGCCACATTTCTGAAATTCGGTGCCACCCCTCACGCAGATCCGCGGGGTCAGGGTCCAAAAACACAGGGGATTTGCCACATTTCTGAAATTCGGTGCCACCCCTCACGCAGATCCGCGGGGTCAGGGTCCAAAAACACATGGGATTTGCCACATTTCTGAAATTCGGTGCCACCCCTCACGCAGATCCGCGGGGTCAGGGTCCAAAAACACATGGGATTTGCCACATTTCTGAAATTCGGTGCCACCCCTCACGCAGATCCGCGGGGTCAGCACATCCCTTGTGTTTTTGGACCCTGACCCCGCGGATCTGCGTGAGGGGTGTCGATTTCGAGCCCCCCCAGCAATTCAGACAACGCGCCCAGGGGGTGCTAAAAAGCCGGTTTGGGCCTCCCCCCCCCTCGCGCGGTCAATCAACTAGTTACAGTAACCAGCAATAAGTCAACCAGTTACAGTAACCAGCAAGAAGCAGAACTGTAACACTGGAAACTACAAGCTACAACTGGTACAGGAAACTGCGAACCCCGCGCCTACAGCCTGGTGGCCCCACAAGGGGGCCGGCGGATATATATATATATATATATATATATATATATATATATGTGTGCGTGTGTGTATATGTGTGTGTGTGTGTGTTTGTGTTGGGGGGCGGTGCCTCCCTTGCCGATGTAGACAAGTTGGACAGTTTCGCGCGGGCGAGGGTGGGAGGAAGCCTTGCTCTGTACGGCAGGGGTGGACCTAAACGGTGTTTTGGCGATTTCGTGGGCCGTTTTCGTTTCGATTCCGTTTTGCGACACAGGCGAATCCAAGACACAACGAGAGAAAACGAAAACAACACGAAAACGAATAACACCGTTTAGGTTCAGCCCTGCTGTACGGTCTGTGCCCGCAGGTCACCACCTCCAAGGCGAAGGGCCACTCCTGCGAGAGCTGCCCAATGGCGGCGGCTCTGAGACTGCCGACTGCCAGAGCACCCTGCAGTTTGGCCCTTCTGGGGCGTTCAGTCTCATTCTATGTGTTTTCGTTCGGTCGGCGCCCCCTTGAAGCAAGTAGTTGCGAAAGGACCTCCCTTCCACCTCTCCATTGGACATCCCCATCCGACCCTGGCAGCGACACCCTAGCACCAGGCGTTCTTCCATATCCACTTCCTCCTCCTCTCTCTACTCCGACTCCAAGTCTTACTTGTTCTATGTATCCAGTTGCCCTTGGTGCACCCCGCCGTCGTGCCTTCGCAACATGTTAGCAGGAAGGAGCTTCACTTCACGACCCGCTCAAGTTCAGACAGAGTGCTGAACTGGTTCGGGTCTTCACCCCCCCATTGTCTGCAGCCTCGTTCTCCATGTTCTTCTCCCTCGTTCCTCCTGCTTTGCCTCCTTGTTCCTTTCTTCTTAGTGCATCTTGGAGGCTCCTCTGCGGCGTTTTGAAGGCCTCTCGGGGGCCTCTGAGAACCGTTTGGGGCGCCTTTCGTGGTCTGTTTGTGAGCTCTTGGATGCCTCTTGGGGGATTTTGGGGGTGCCGCACTCTTAGGGCTTTTCGGTGACGTCCTGGGGGCCTGGGTGTGCCTCCTGGGGCATGTTAGGGGTCTTGGAGGCAATCTGGGAGGAAACAGCTCTCGAGGCCAGCTCGATTTCCCCTGCTTGTGCCCTGTACTGGGGCCTTCTTAGGGGCGTCTTGGGCCGCCTTGGCGGTCTCCTTAGCCAACTTGGGGTCCTCTTGGGCCGTCGCAGGATCCTCAGGCCGTCTTGGAGCCCCCGTGGGCTGTCTTGGGACCCTCTTGGGGCTCTTGTGAGCTGTCGTGGAGCCTGCCTTGAGAACCTTTTTGGGCCGTCTTGGGCTGTCAGAAGCCCGACAGGGTCAGTATGTTAGATTCAGTCAAACACCTGCGGAGCAACAAAACATTGCTTTTGACCTCTCGGAAGCCTCTTGGTCTTGGAACGTTTTGGAAACCTCTTGGGCAAACTTGAGGACATGTTGGGCCATTTTGATGGCCTCTTGCACCGTCCCGAGGCCATCCTGAGCAGTCTTGGGACCGTCTTGGGGGCTTGTTGGGCTGTTTTGAGGCGAGCTTGGCTGTCTTGGGGGTGCTTTCGGCCGTCTCGGAGCGGTCTCGAGGCTGAAAAGAACGCCGGAGAGCAAATTCAGGGGGTCTGCTGTTAGGCACGCGTGCGGCGAGGGGGAGTCGGCCCTACAGTCGGCCCGGATTAGTAGGTCGACCCTGCCAAATCAAGGGTACCCTTGTGTCCTGTGCCTCGCGACCCGTGCCTCCTGCATTCCTACGGCAGCGTGGCCCTCGGAAGGGAATTGTGTCCTCTCGCGTGTCCTGTCACATGAAATCCGACTGTAGAAGACATTGACGAAACCGTGCCAGATCACAGATGAGCATTCTCACACGCCCACCCCGTGCAGGCGCGGTGGCGGGCCTTTTCGATGCAGTGAGTCGCATGGTTGCATAGGATATGGAAGCGCTTCGCTCATTCCGCCGGCCCGTATTGTGCCATCGCTGGCGCTTGCCAGCGCGCTCGTGGCCCATGGGGCGCTGCTTGGCAGTTTTTTTTGTTTTTTTCCCTACCTAGGCTCTGCCTAGAAGGGTTCTTACTCTCTTAGCTTAAAGGGGCCGGGCAGTGGAACACGCCCCGGGCGGTTCCCCCAGTCCCCTGGGAGCGGTTCCCCCCAGTCCCCTGGGAGCTTTAGCTTTAGCTTTAGCTTAGCTTTAGCTTAGCTTTAGCTTAGCTGTAGCTTAGCTTCAGCTTAGCGTTTCGCTTAGCTTTAGCTTAGCTTTAGCTTAGCTTTAGCTTAGCTTCAGCTTAGCTTTGGCTTAGCGTTGCTGTTACTACTGATGCTGCTTTCCTAGGGGTTCCAACTCCTGGGTAGGGTCGCACTGGGATCCTTTTTTTTTTTTGTTCTGGAGGCGTGGCGACAGCAGGCACGGAGGTGAGGCAGTTGCTTTTGGAGCTTGTCGTGGGATCCTGGCCTCTGCTGCTTGTTAGGCCTGGCCAGGTCGTGGGTCAGAGTCCTCGGGGATTCTTCTTGGGGTCTCTTCGGCCTCGCAGGAGGGCAAGAGACCTCTTCGGAAGGCTTATCTCACCACCCACCAAACCACCCCAACCCAACCCGAAGGCCTCAATTTGCCCTCCATTTCCAGTGGGGGGGGGGTCGGGGAACATCGAAAGAACACGTGTGGAACCCTTACCCCCCCCAACCCGAAATTCGGGTCTTCGGGTTGTGTTGGGGTGGTCTGGTAGGTAGTCAATTCCGCCACCGACCAGCGGGGTCCGGTCGGCCAGAACAGACAAGCTCGTGGTCCGCGGGTTTTCGAGTCTCTCCGGAGAGCCCGGGAGCGCTCCTGGAGGACAGTCTCGAGGCCTCCTGGGAGCCTCCTGGGGGCCTCCCTGGGGCCGCCAGGGGACCTCTTTGGGGGGCTCCCTGGGGGGCCTCCCGACGGCATCTTCGGGGACTGCTGCGGCCTCTTCAAGGTAACCTTGGGGCCTCCCGGGGGCCTCGGGAGGCCGAGGGCTTGAGATGTTGTTGCAGCACTCTTCGTTCCTTATGCAGCGTTCCTTCTGATAACACGGTGACTGTGGGCTATGCCCAGGTCTGGCCACCGCGGTGCCGAGCTCGTGGGGCGGGCCGTCGCCGTCGTGTCGTCGTCGTCGTGAATGCATGCATGACCACGTGGGTTCGCCTACTCGAAGAGTTAAAACACGGTGATTGTATTAGCACCGTGGAATAATCTCTGCAGTGCGAGCGACGGTAGCGCATGAAAATGTTAAGGCGGGGCTGCCCTGTTCACATGCAAACGCCGCAAACACAGCGTTGCGACAGTTATTGGTCTACAGCTGCCACGCTGCTGATGAGATGCCATTACACGCGTAATGCGACCTGCAACTGCAGCCGTACTGCCGTCAACATGGCTACCACTACTATTACTGTTCGTATTATTGGTGCTTCTGGCATGACTGCACCTCGGCGATAATATTGTGGTTTGTTTACCCCAGGACAGCAAGCAGTGCAGTAGTGTCCCAGCTCGAGCAATACATGTACATACAATTTGCGATTGTGGCGCTTCAGCTACCGTCCGGGGTTATCGGCGCCTCTCCGCACAGCTCTTGCCTTGACTGGATGTTCGCAGGCCGTATTTGGCACGCATGTTTTCGTTCCCAGGATAAAGGTATACATGCACTTACTTCGTTTGGATTTGAAGCTGTTGTCCAACTCCCAGCACATAGAGCAGTATTGGGAGCTTACTTGGCTGTGTGATTGGTACTGGTTTGATCTTTCGCACTGGTTGGGAAGTGGACAAGTGGTTGGGGGTTGGTACCCACTGGGTTGCGATTGTTCCACCATGCGGTCCCTTTTGGAAAGAGGGGGTGTCCGGGACGAGGGATCGGGAAGGGGGGGTGGTCTAGGACGGTGGACCGAAGAAAGAGGGGGAGGGATGATGGTGGTCCAACACGTTTCCTCTTCTGGGTCAACTATCGGCGCGCCTTCATTCAGTTGCTTCTTGAGGCGGCATGCGTTTTACGTCGCTCGAGAGAACTCATGTGACATTCCACGCGTAGACGGTTGGGAAGTTGTTGCTTCGGTGCTCTGAGAGTCCAGACCTCCGATGTTGTTCTTGTTCCAGTCCGCGGGCCCAAGAGGCAGGCGACCCATTCTCCAGGGGCAGGTCGTTCGCCCTTGGCACGCTCTGGTTGGTCCTTGGGCAGAAATTGTCCTCCCTCCCCGCAGGCCGGAGCTGAGGGAAACTGCATGGATTGGAACAACATCAGTGCGGTCCGACCGGGGTATAAGGTCGAGGTCAGTTCGGGGAGTGCACCTTGATGTGCTGGCCGGCGGAGGGTCTCGTGTTCTTGAGGGATGCTCTTCTGGCCTCGGTCCGACTGTATTCCAGGAGGTCTGGAAGCCACGGGGGCCCAAATAATATACACCACCACCACGTCGCTTCCTCCTCTCTCCTCATTCCAGCGAGAGGGAATTGGGAGGGAGGTGGTGGTGGTGTATATTTTTGGGCCCCCCTAAGCCAGGCTCTGTTCAAGCGGTCGAGCGTCGTGAGGGGGTTCCAGAACGTCGGCATCTTGGACTGCAGCAGGGACGACATCGTCGGCGACTCGCTGCGCCCCCCTGCGCTGGCCTGCAGCTTCGGGAGGCCGAACCTGCTGCTGGTCAGCGACCTGCAGGGGGAGTCGTGCGGCTACTGCTACCACGAGCACAAGCAGGTCGGGTGCGTATACAACGAGCAACACCGCGGGTGCGCCACCGAGGACGGGAAATACTACTGCCGAAACGTCGATGGCGACTCTCCTGTCCAGTCCTGCCTCCAGAGGAGCGCCTTCGAGCCACTCATGCCATCGAATTGGAAGTTCAGCCTGCGGGAGTTCACGCTGGCCCTGCACGTGGCGGAGCGCACTGCGGTTGCAGTGGGAGACTCGTCGAGCTCGTGCTCGGCGGCGGCCAGTCCAGGATGACCACTGCGGCATGGTCTCCACCTGCGCGAGGCACTCACGAGGACCGCCCGGGGGCGGTGCGCAGCCCGCGCGGCGCACTCCTCGCCGGTCCTTCGCCCCTCACCATCGACGGATGCACTGGCTCACGCCGCGCCGCCTCGCGCTCCTCGGGAGCCCTGGATGCCTCTCGTCCGCTCCCTTCCGCGGGGGGGGGGGGGAAGGTCGTGGGAGCTCTTGGAGCCGTGCGTCCATCGGGGAGCTCAGGGCCGCCGTGCTCCACAGGGGGTTCCTGCTGGGTCGTTTTTGGGGCCTCCTGGAGTGGCTTCTGGAGGCCCCCTGGTGGCCTCTGGGGGGTCCCTAGGGTTGTGGAGGACGATCAATGGAGAGGAAGCGTGCTGCCAAACAGTATCCAGATGTCTACACAATGCTTCAAACATGCTTTTGAATATGTGAAAACATGTTTGAAACGTTTTTAGAACATGCTTTACACATTTTAAACATACCTTTAAATCAATGATAGGATTGGTAGAGTGTCCATTGTCATGGCATCCACTATCCTCGGGGCTCTGACGGGGGCATGTTGGGGGGTCCGGGAGGCCATCTTCAGGGGGGGGCTGCTCCCAAGGCCTCTTCGAGTTCCCAGTCTTGCGCTCCTTCCTCCTGGGGCCTTCCTGGGGGTATATTTCTGGACCACCTGGGCCCGTTCGGGAGCCGTTTGGGGAAGCTTTTTTGCCGTCTTAGCGCGATCTTTGTGGCCACTTGGGCTGCCTCTAGCCACCCTGAAGATTGAACAGGAGAGTATGTAAAACGTGTAGGAACACCAGCGGAGCATCTCAGATATTTGCTTCCGGGCGCTCACTTAGGGGTCCTCCTGGGGCTCCTTGGGGCCTTCTTGGGAGCCTCGATGGGGTTGTGCTGAAGCCATCCGGGGCCCTCTCGGATCCTGTCTGGGCCGCCCCTGAGCATGTGGTCTGTCGTGGAGCTCTCTTGCACCATGCTGGCGCTCCTGCCAGATGAGTCCGCCAGCGCATTCCCCCCCCCCCCCCCTCCTCCGAATCGGCTGCACGGGGTCTCGGAGGAGGGGTTTGGGGAGGGGCAGCCGCCCAGGAGCCCCGAGGGGTCGGCGAGCTCGCATTGCCCCTCCACTCCCGTCGTGCCACCGCCGCCCTCTTTCCTCCCCTCGCCGCCATTATTACCCCTTCCCTCCTTCCTCGGGGGCGGCAAAGAGGGGGGTGATGACTAGGGGTGTGTGGATATCATGGCGGGGGCCATGATATCTCCCCAGGTTTCGTGGCGCCTCTTCTTATTTCATTACGTCCCTGGCCCCCCTCCCCTTGGGCCGCGCACGTGCCGCTGGCCGTGATTTGCGCCTCCCCCTCTTGGACCGCCATTCAGCCGATCCCCGGAAAGAGGAGCGAAATCCGCGGGCGAGGCCTTTCGGGGGGACCGTTTGGGGCCTCTGCGGGCTTCTTCGTGGCCTCTTGGAGGTTTGTTGTGGCCTCTCGGTGGTTTCTTGTGGGCCCGCTGGCGCCTTCGGGGGTACTGTTGGGGCGGAGGGCTCGACATGTGAGTTCGAAATGCTCCTCTTGGGCCCCTCTTGGGCCGTCTTGGGACCCTCCTGGGCCGTCTTGGAAGCTTCTTGGGCTGTCTTGGAGCGATCTGTTGGGCCTCTCGGGCCGTCGTGGACGATGCTGGCACGAAAAAGGCGAAGATGCTAAGCATATACGTTGTAAAGTGGTGCTGGGCCGATTTTCGCTTCTTGGGGCCCTCTCCGGGGTCCTCGTGGCCTTGAGGCAAGCACTGGTGCTTCTGAGGCCTGCTCGGCGTGCTGGAGCCGAGCTTGAGCCAGCGGAAGTGGTACTTCGGACGTCTTGGAGGCCACGGAGTGGATGTTTGGAGGTTCTGGAGGCTCCTGGGGCGCGCGCAGCGGGAGTGCTTCCCCGCCGCCCGGCCCCATTCCTTTCCGTCGGCGGCTCGGCAGGGTCACTGCGCTGGCGATGCGGCGTTGGTGGATGTACGAACGCGACTTAAGCCACCACGCAGGGGGAGGAGGGAGGCGCCCGGCGGCGGCGGGAGGGAGGAGGAAGCTGGGCAAAACCCCCCGCCCCCACACACCCGACGCCGTGACCGTTCACAGCGTGCCTCCACAGAGGCCTGGACCCCTTGCCAGGGACCAACTTCTCGCCCCGAGTTTGTTTTTTGTTAGTTGACGGCCCCGGGGGCTCGGCGAGGGCCCCCCGAGGCCGAACACGATGAACAAATGCCGCTTTTCATTTTTGTGCAGACGCTGGATATCGGGATCCCTGGCAGCTCGCCGCCACGCCTGGAGGAGCTGCTGCGACAGGCCGCGCCCTTTGGTGCCACTCGCTGCGGTGACGTCACCTGGCCTGCGAAGGAAAACGTGCGAGCGACGCAGAAGACAGGGCCCTTGGCATCGCTCGGAATTGTAAGTTATTTCTCGGCGGGGGCCATCGAGGAGCGTCCTGGATCGTCGAGCAGCAAAGAAACGCACAAAACCGAGAAGCACACGGGGAGTGGACGTCCGAGCGACGCAAAGGACAGGGCCGTCTGCACGGACATTGCCGCGCAAGCTGCCCGCGCGAGGTCGCGCGGGAGCGCCCTGGTTTCCAAGGAGGCGTGCCGCGGCTGCGGCCCGCGTAGGCCGCCGCGCAGTGTCGGGCCGCTATGTCCCATTAAGCTTAAGTCGGGCATATTCCTCTATAGGAGGAATATTCCCAACTAGCCAGAAATAACCCGGGGACGTTTTTATAGCACACAATCAAGGCATATAATCATACCATTATCCTTGAGCGACCCTACCTAGGAGTTGGAGCATATATGCCTTTGCCTTTGCTTTGCTGCTATGCTATGCTATGCTATGCTGCGCTATGCTATGATATGCTATACTTTGCTATGCTGTGCTATGCTGCGCTATGCTATGCGATGATATGCTATGCTAGGGTACGCTCGGCTGCGCTGTGTTATGCTAGGCTATGTCATGATATGGTATGGTATGCTGCGTCATACCATGCTATGCTGTGCTATGCTATGCTGCGCTATGCTATGCTATGCTATGCTATGATATGCCGTGCTATGATATGCTATAATAGGCTATGCTATGATATGCAATGCTGCGCTATGTTATGATACGCTATGATATGATATGCTGCACTATGAAATGCTATGCTATGCTGCGCTACGCTATGCTATGCTATGCTATGCCGCGCTGTGCTATGCTATGCTGTGCTATGTTGCGCTGTGCTATGCTAGGCTAAGCTATGCTATATTGTGCTATGCTATGCTATACTATGCTGCGCTATGCTATGCGTTGCTATGCTATGCTATGTTATGCTGCGCTATGCTATGCTGCGCTATGCTATGCTATGCTATGACATGCCATGCTATGCTATGCTATGCTATGCTATGTTATGCTATGCTATGCTATGCTATGCTAATGCTGCGCTAAGCTAAGCTGAGCTAGGCTAAGCTAAGCTAAGCTAGGCTATGCTAGGCTAAGCTAAGCTAGGCTAAGCTAAGCTAAGCTAAACTAGGCTAGGCTAAGCTAAGCTAAGCTAAGCTAAGTTACACTAGGCTAAGCTAAGATGAGATAAGCAACGCTAAGCTAAGGGGACGTAACTGGGGGAACCGCGGGGCGGAAGCCGGGGGAACCGCGCGGGGCGAGGAACATTGCCCGGCCCCTTTAAGATATAGGGTAAGAACCCTCTAGGCAGAGCCTAGGTAGGGAATAAATCGTGTACAATTATATTTGGGTATGCTTGAGTCTGTTCCATTTGTCTTCCAACATCAGCCTGTAGGATACCATTCTCCAAATAGGCTTGCCCTATAGGAGTCCTAGCTCATCATACGTAATTGGTCTTTAGGAAACCTTCCTTTTTCCAATGGTACCCCCCCTTATTTCCAATGGCACCCCCCTCCCTCCCCTTTTGCCAATGGCACCCCCCTTATTTCCAATGACACCCCCCAGCTATTTCCAATGGCGAGGCCTATGGATTCCTATGGATTCCTATGAGTCGCTTGCCCTTGCTTGCTCTTGAGTGCTCTTGCGTGCTTGCTCTTGCGTGCTTGCTATCGCTTGCTTGCTCTTGCTTGCCCTCGCTTGCTTGCTGCACTTGATCGCTGGGTCTTGCTTGCTTGCTATCGCTCGCTTGCGCTTGCTTGCTTCCTCTTGCTTGCTTGCGCGTGCTTGATTTTGCTCCTCACGTCCTCCTCCCGTCCTGCTCCCGTATTCCTTTCGTCCTCCTCCCATACTTCTCTTGTCCTCCTCCAGTCCTCCTATCTATTTGGAGTCAACGCTGGCTGATATGCCCGACCTAACATGAAGCATAGTACAACCCCTGACCCTGATAGGAGCCTATTTTTGAAGGTCTTGGCGATAACGGCCGTGATCGGCCCGCTCCCTCTCCCTTCCCACGGATCACGACACGCTATCTTGCCCACGTTTGCAGTGATTTTCCACGGACTCTTCGAGGATGTCCTAAGATTTCTGGCGCCCCCCCCGCCGTGATGTCATCGAGGGGGGACGAGCTCCACCCCCCCCTCCCCCGATCACGCCCGCTATCGCGAATAATACATATAAATCATAACAATGAATTCGTGGACTAACTCAATGGTCATCGGTGTTGTGGGGCTTTCCCTTGACATGTGGAGGTGGCTTCGTTTGGGGCGCTCGCAAAAGCATTACCCCTAATGTTGTTGCCCCCCCTAACTTAGGTCCCCTCCCACAGCATTCGGGGTACCGCGTCCAGGATGCAACTCCCGGGAGGTTAAATTCTGTATCGGCGCTGTTTTTTTCGCGGTCGACAATCGGGTCGATTTGGGTGAATCCAGGTAAATTATGCCTGATCCCGCTTAGTCCGGCTTGCTCCGGCTTAATCTTGGGCTTCACTCGCCCGAGGCATCATTCGCATCCGCCATATCTCAGAGATTCTCGATTCATCCTTACCCGCATTAACCTTGGCCCTGGCTTCCTCTTAGCGCATCCGCACCCTCGCGCCCCAGAATCCAGGCCGCGAGGGTGCGGGCACTGACGTGTTCGTCGACGCCTCGCCAGCGCCGGCCGCTCCCGCGCGCCTGCTTTGCGTGCCTTTGCTGTTGCTTCTCCTCTTTCGAGGAGGCGGAGGAGGAGGAGGAGGAGGCGGAGGCGGAGGCGGAGGCGGAGGCGGAGGCGGCGGAGGAGGAAGAGGAAGAGGAGGAGGAGGAGGAGGAGGAGGAGGAGGGGTAGAGGAGGTGGAGGAGGAGGAGGAGAGGAGGAGGAGGAGGAGGAGGAGGGGGGACCCCTCTCCCCCCTTTTCTGCCCTCTTCCCCCTCGTTTCCTCCGCCACGGGGCGACTCTTCTCCGCGACGCCCCGAGGCTCGAGGCCTCGAGGCTTCGAAGGCCGAGGCCTCTCTCTGGGCGTTCTGGGCTCCCCTTTGGGCTCCCTGCGGCGGGTCCCCGCCGCCACGGGCCGGCTCCGTCCCGACATCGTGGCCCGAGTCGGGCGTGTCCCTCTGCAGGAGGAATGTGCGGAAATAGTCGACACGTCGTCGGGGGACGACTTTACCCCATGGTTTGCTGGCTATTCTCGAGCATGTGTCGCATTTTTACCTAACAGCGTTTGCTGATAGGTTTCTAGTAGGGTCAAAAGAGAGCATCATGACTCCTCAGGGGGGTCTGGGCGGGTGCCGGGGAGGAGAACCGGGAATCGTTTTTCGCCAACAGTCACACACTTCGTGCTCTTCGACCTCCCAGAACTCCATTCCCGGGCCACATTCTGGAGAACCGGGAACAGAGCCGGGCTCGCTTTTCACCAACAGTCACACACTTCGTGCTCTTCGACCTCCCAGAACTCCATTCCCGGGCCACATTTTGGATGCCCGGAGCCAACTGTAGGCCACTTCGTGGTCTTCGAGTTCCCAGAACTCCATTCCTGCGCATGATTTTGAATGCCCGGAGCCAACTGTAGGCCACTTCGTGTTCTTCGAGTTCCCAGAACTACATGAATCCTTGACGCATGATTTTGATGGCCGAGCCAACTGTAGGCCCACTTCGTGTTCTTCGAGTTCCAAAAAACTCCATTCCCGGTGGAGGCCACATTTTGAATTGCTGAGGCAGAGGGCTGATGCTGAGGCTGAGGCCAGGCTGAGGATGAGGCAGGCTGAGGCTGAGAGGCCGAGGCTCAGAAGGCAGAGGCAGACTGAGGCTGGAAGCAGGCTGAGGCTGAGGCTGAGGCAGGCTGAGGCTGAGGCTGAAGTCAGGCTGATGCTGGAGGCAGGCTGAGGCTGAAGGCTGGAGGCTGATGCAGTGCTGAGGCTGAGGCGCCTGGGCTGACGAGCCGAGGCTGAAGGCTGACTGAGGTTGGGCTGAAGCCGGCTGAGCTGGCTGGGAGGCAGGAATGAGGCCGAGGCAGGCTGAGCTGAGGCTGAGCAGGGCTGAAGGTGAGGCTGTGACTGTGACTTGCCGTTTTGCCACTGTGCGAGACTTATCGCGAATGCGACTACGACTGCGAGAACAGCAGAATTCTACAACTGGATTATCATCTGAATCTTAAGGGGAATGCTTCCAGATATGCTCCTACACATCGCTGTTAGGTTGCTTTGCCGGGATAATTTTGATCTTTCCCCCCCCACATCCGCCTGTAGGGGGACACGCCCGACCTGAGATCATGGCCAGAACGCGCCCCAGTTGGATGTCCGCCGCTCGTGGCGGTCACCCCACCGCCCCCTCGCGGGCGGCCAGGGGCTCTCTCTGCCCTCCAGACCACCCCAACCCGACCCGGAGGCCCCGAGCTGCCCTCCATTCCCAGGGGGAAGGGGGGGGGTGGGGCATCCGGGAACATTGAAGTAAACCGCGCCTGGAACCCGCCCCCGCCCCCCATTGGGACTTCGGGTCGGGCTGGGCGGTGGTCTGGTAGGTCGTTCGGATCGGTATCGTTTCACCAGTCCCCATCCCCATCCCCCTCGAGACCTCCACCAAATTACCACCCCAGCTCCAGCTGGGGATGCACCCCTCGAAACCCGAAGGCAACGACCTATATCCCCATCTGGGGGGTCAATCGGCCAGTGGGGCCCGGGCCGCGCCGCTGGGGATGGGGATCGGATAAACGATACTTTCGGATGCAACTGCTGGAAGGTCAAATTCTGTTTTTGCCCTGGTCCGAAATCCGGCTGAATCCCGCCTCATCCCGTTCAATCCCGCTTAATCTGGCGTACTCCCGCGGAATCCCGCTACATCCGGCTTAATCCGAGGCCTACTCCGGCATAACAGCCCCCCAGCGGGGCTCAATCCTCTTCCATCTTTCCGACGAGAACCTCCGTAGTTGCCCCCTATAAGATGCTCCCAGGAGCGGCCTCTCCCGCTGCCCCCGGCGTGCGGGCGGCGCGAGAGGGCCGCGCGGCGCCCCGCCCCCCTGGCTGCCCCGGGCGGCCCGGCCGCCGGCGGGCCCGCCGCCGCGCCCTCGCCGCTGCGGCGCCTCGGCGGGCTCGGCGCGCGGCGGCGCGGCCCGCGGCGCCTCGGCAGGCGACCCGGGCGCCCCGGCCGGCCCGCAGGCACCTCGAGGGGACGCACCCAGACTCGGGCGACGAAATCTATACATATCCACTGCTCCCTGGCCAGGCCCACTCTGAACCCAGGAGCTGTGTATACGCCCTCCTGGCCCAGCCAGGAGGGTGTGGCGTATACACTGCTGCTGGGTTCACGGTGTGCCTGGCCAGGGAGCAGTGGATATGTATAGATTTGGTCGCCCTACAGACGTGACCGCGTCGTACAATCACCGAGCGCGTTCCAGTGCTCGCAGAGTGCCTGCTCGCAAACGCCCGAAAAAAACACATGTCTGATTCGATGCCATGTCTCGTAATTATCTCCCCTCCAGCGGATCCAGGCCATGTGCGAGCAGTCACTGTGCGAGTAGTGGAACGCCGCGCTCGTTTATAAAATCTGCACGAACGAAATGGGTACGGAAAGAATGGGTACAATGCCCAACAGCAGCTCCTGTTCATTTTGAGCAGGACTCGCTGTCCGCGCCGCCGCGGCCTGTGTCCATTCGAAACAGAAGGCCCCCTGCCCAACATGTGTTGTTGGCCATTGTACCCATTTTTTTCCGTGCCCATTTCGGGCGTCCAAGGTAAAATAATCAGGGCGGGCGGTTTGTCGCTGTTTTCGGCCCCTTGGGGCCCTCGCTGGGCCCTGGGAGCGTCAAAGAAGGATGCAGGATGAAAGACCGGCCCCGTGGAAAGGGTCGGGACTTCCGGGGACGCCGTCCTGAACAAAATCATGACGTCGCATGTCTGGGTAATCGTCTGCGCGCAAGAGGCGTGAGAGTGGCTCTTCGCCAGAGTGACCTGTGGGGCGGGCCCACCGGTGTCCCCCGGATCGGCGAACGCGATATGGTAGTAGCGCTTGCGCGCGCGTGTGCTTGGTTCCCCCCGCGCCCCCCCCAAAAGCCGCGCACCAAAGGTCACCCTAACCCAGGGCCACTCCTGCGTGTAGTCGATGTGAGGTCTACGAGCCTCTCGTGGCTTGCACGATGAGGTGTCGCTGTCGCACTTCTGGCTGAGGCCGAGCTGTTCTGATGCAGCGGATTCGTGCTCTAAGGGTATCGGCGTTGTTCTTAGGGCCTTTGCATGTTTCTCCGACCATGTCGTGGTGGTAGGCCTATACGAATGCCGGGACGGTCGTCCCCTGCTCAAGCTCGGCGGCGAGCGAGGGGGGGAAGGTGAGAAGGAGAAGGCCTTCTCAGAAGGCTTGGAAGTCCCCCAGCCTTCTGAGCAGTTTCCCAAGCCTTCCCCGAAGACAGGGACAAACTTCTCAGAAGGCGCGAGGGCTTCTGAGAAGTCCCGCCGCCTTCTGAGAAGGCCCTCTCCTTCTCATGTCCCCGCCTCGCTGGGGGGCAACAATAGGGGGGCACTGGCATGGGGGGGGATGCATCGACCTGGAATCGGCGATGCATCGCCGATCGATCGGCGATAGGCCCTCGATAGTGAATCCGCACCTTCCTGGGCAGTTTTGGGCTATCGGGCCCCTATCGGCGATCACTGGGCGATTGGGGGTCGATGCATCCCCCCCTATGCCCATCCTCCCTCGTCAAGGCAACCTCTTGGAGCCGTCTTGGGGGCCTCCGGAGGCCGCCCGAGGCCGCCGGAGGCCGCCCGAGGCCCCGGAGGCACCGCCAGAGGCACCGCCGGAGGCCGCCGAGGGCCGCCGAGGGCTACCCGACGGGGAGTGGCCGTGGCCGCAGGCCGGCGCCTGCCACACGGCCCGCGCCGGGAGGGTTTCTCCCAAGGGCTTAGGCGACACGCCCTCCTCCCTCCCTCCCTCCTCCCTCCTCCTCCTCC